TCGTATTTATAATTTTGCCCTCACATAGCGGGCTCGTTAATTTTGAAAGCGCTGTTTGAATTCATAGTTATTTGTTTGGGATCTCTGAATCTGTTAAATTCTATTCTTTATTGATCTAGTGTTCAAGGGACCAAGGAGAGCTTCTGTTTAATGAACATCCATCCGGTATGCTGCTGAAGTTCTCCGATATAGTTCGGTTTCTCCCCATAGTATGTCACAAAAGTCAAGGCAGGATAGTTTTTTTTTCGAACATGCAATATTACTGGTTCCCTTTTTTGTTTGCCAATAAAAATTTCATGTTATGTTGAAAGCTACTGGAGCGAGGAAGATTGACATTTCCCGTGGTGCCTGTAACTATTTTTCATCTTTTTCATCTATTGTTGCATCATTTTCTGGAGGAGCTTGGAAATTCAGTGCAGATGTTGGCGTTTCGCAATGGACTAATTTTTGCTCGTCGGATATCTGCCAAACAGTTGGTATATTCGGAATATGGAGATCCAGCTAAGGTAAGGTATCATGTTTTGATTGAGGTGGAATACAGGCAAATGGAATTTCGTACGCTCAGGTAATAAAGTTACAAACAATCGATCTACCTGATAAACCTCCGGCTGGGCACGTCCATGTGAAATGGATTGCATCACCAATAAATCCAGCTGATTTGAACACGCTTCAAGGTGTTTACCCGATTAAACCACCTCTTCCAGCAGTCGCCGGTAACGAAGGCTTTGGTCGTGTTGAACAGGTGCGCAGTGTTATTGTCTAGAAATAATAAAAATTTTGTTCGAACATATCATCAGGGCACGTCACACGTTAGCAATAATCAATGAGGAGTTGAATTTTTCGCTGGAGGGAGGGGTTCTATTTTTTTCTGTCGGTCTCGTCGGTTCGCTTTTTTGCATTTCACCATGTCTATACCCCCACCCATTGATGGCATTTTTTGGAGGAAAACTGCGGAATTTGAAGGAAGAAAACCCAGGAAAGTGGTGGGATCTTGGGAAAATGGAGATTGTAGGTGGAATGGGGGATGGGAAGGAGAGTTGTACTAGAGAACTAAACTCCGAAGGGAGGGGGGTGCGGCCATATTTTGCAGAATTTTCCCCAACGCAGGACGTGCCTTCCTTGCTGTATAAAAATTAGCTGATTTGTTATTTCGAGTGTTTTTCTATTCCAATGTCTTTCAATGAAATGAGGATTTTTATGCAGAACACCTAAAAGCCCAAACAACACTTTTCAGCGCTAGGGTTGTTGGAGGAAGCGCCTCAGTTTGTGTGTTTCAATGCTTCTCCTCACCATAGCTGAGGCTCAGTGGAGACTATGCCTTCCCTGCGAAAAACCTTCCCTGAGCAATCCTGGTCGTCTACGCTCTAGGCATAAGCTTGGTTAGGCGACGGGACACAAAGGCGCGGTTAAGTAATCATTCTCCTTAATCAACCACGTTAACGCCGTATTTTCTTTAATTATTGACGTCGAGGACAGGAGATGCTCAAATAGATTATTTTTCTTCGAATAGAATTTACTTTCTCTAGAGGGGCTGGTTCACCATAGCGAGCTCATTACTCCACTAGATCAGGCTAAAATTCACACCAACCTGGCACACGTCAGTTTCTAGGCACCTTCCTCTGAATGCCGGCAGACACTAAGAACTAGAAGATTCGCAGTAGAAACCGAGATCGAAAATTCGTGGCTTTAGAGGGCTTCTGCCCAAATGTTTAACGTATGAACCCTTGTACCTAATTTCCGCAGCCCATGTGTTTCCAAAACCGTTGTGTTACTCCTAGGATACTTGCTCTTTTCATAGGTCGGAGAAGGTGTCAAAGCTGTACGAGTTGGTGACCATGTGTTACCCGCAAAATCTGGCCAAGGGATTTGGAGAAGCGATGGTCATCACAAGGAAACGGATCTGTTCCCGATAGACAATGAATTACCATTTGAAGCGAGTGCCACTCTACAGGTACTAGTGCATAATTTTCATTGGAGCGTTACGGACTTTGATGACTAAGCCTATCATGTCTAGGTTAACCCACCAACTGCCTATCGAATGCTGAAAGATTTCGTAGACTTGAAGCCCGGTGACACCGTTATTCAGAACGGTGCAAACTCTGCAGTGGGAAAAGCTGTGATTCAGGTGCGCCAATAGTTACATTCTTCTTCACTGCGGTTGATAGGGCGTGTCAACACGGCTGCGTTTGTCGCGGCGTCCAGCCGTTTTTTTACGGCAAGGGAAGTGTAATATATAGATGTATCAGTCGTTTCCCACCAGTTGTTACCGCCGACCCGCCTCGACAAATGCTAGAGACGGGCTGGCGACGTGCCAAACGCGGCTGCGCTGAGACGCTCCATGATCCTCAGCGAACAAGGCTGTACCTTCAGTAGTTGTCCATAATTCTTTATGCGTTCAGATATGCCGTTTACGTGGTCTTAATTCTGTGAATATTGTTCGCAAACGGGAAAATCTTTCCGATTTAGTCAAAGAATTGAAAGCACTGGGAGCTAACGAAGTAATAACTGATGAGCAACTAGCCAAGGAGTACCGGTAAGAGTTTGTCTTCACTTGTGTAAACAAAATAAGTAATAACATTTAGCGGGAAGGTCAAAGATGTACGTTTGGCGCTGAATTGTGTTGGTGGAAAATCTACTCTACTTCTTGCTGCTACGCTTGGAAATCAGGGATGCATGGTCACTTACGGTGGAATGAGTAAAATGCCGTTACAGGCAAGGTTTTCTTAAATTACAAAAGTTAGGTGAGGTTTTCCCCGAGTTTTCATGTTGCATCATTTCAGATTCCAACAGGCCCACTCATTTTCAAAGATATCCGTTTGACAGGGTTCTGGATGTCACGGTGGTATGAACAACCTGGCAACATAGAGGTAATTTAAACATGCTTATGCATTTACTTTGAAGGCTCTGACGTATTTGGGGGGGGGCACAAAATACGACCCCTTTCCTACAAAATTTCCTTTTCTGGTACGTCCCCCAAATCCTACCTGCCAATCTTCCCAAGTTCTCAAATCCATCCAACTTTCTACCACTTTTCCGGACTTTTTTTCAGAATGTCTCCAGTTCCTTTTTCAAGCACCGTCGAGCTGGGGAGGGATGTAGGGAAACGTTGAAAACAGGAACCGAGACCAAGAAAAGTCAACGCCGAGAACAGACAAGAAAGTCAACGTTTTCCCCTAAGGCGAAAACGCCCTCCCTCTCCCTCCCTTCAGCGACCCAATCTTATGCGACCCCACTCATTGGGGATCTCAACGTTGTACGTGCCATGTTGAGAGAGCGCAAACGACTAGAGTAGGCGTGGGCTACTCTGGTTGCCACGTGCGGATTTTTTTTGCTGCAGAGCAGGTGGTCTCATGCTTCTTATCTTTAACCTCTTGATCTGTTTAATTGAATTTCGAGTTCTGATATGTAAGATGCAATGTTTTTTTTTTCTTGATAGGAGCGAAAGAAAATGTATGCTGAACTGGGAGGATGGATGAAATCTGGGGAGTTCCGTACGCCTTCATTCGAAATGCGACAACTCAAAGACCATGCCGAGGCTCTTGAAGCGGCTGCTGTACAGTTCGACAAGAAGCAGTTATTCCTTCTTTGAGTGATAGTTTTTTTGTTTACTTATTAGTGCCAGTATTAATAAATTTTGTGGAAGAGCTAGCAAATGTTTCAATACCTGTGACTGAAAGTCAGGACTTATATCTTACTTGTTATTATGGCTTGCATCAACACAACACTGTGAATATTTCTCATTGTGATTTCCACAAAACCAGCCGTCGCGATGATAAAAAAGGATCATAAAGCGTGAGTATCCCTCTTTAGCGCTGTTTCTACTGCCATCCCCTTCAACCTAGGAGTATAATTTTCCCTGTCTGCTTCCTTCCGATTTTTCAGTGGCAAAGAAATTGATCGGTAAGGGAGAGTATACTTTCCGCTGTAGACGCTACCACGGGGGTTGGTCCGGCATCATCGCGTTTTCCGCCAGTTGTTACCGCTTGCCCGCTTCAACAATTGGCAGGGAACGACTGGCGTCGGGATAGAGCCAGATCCCTAGTAAGCCTCAGCGCCCGCATCGGCAATGACAGTATACACATCCGACACGAATCTCTGTCCTTTTTCCTTCCCGAGGCCTTTCCATCAGCAGACCTCTCCCAGCATACGACCCCATGGAGGACCTTTTTCCTTCGTCATGCCCTTTCTTGCCATAGCCACGAATAAGTACGAATGAGAGTCTTAGCACAACTAAAATGGTCGAAATATCATGCACAGTGAAAATGGAGTTCTAGTGTTCACCGTGAAACAGCCTAGGGTTGTCATCATGGCTCTCGTGGGTGATGTGGAACTGCGAAGCGTCGTTCGTGTGGAGCGTATTGGAGTTCACTCTCATATAAGAGGACTTGGAGTGGGTCCCAACCTTGATCCACAGGATACCTCAGACGGAATGGTTGGACAATTCCAAGCCAGAAAGGCAGCTGCAATTATTGTGAAAATGGTGCAGGTAGGTCGATTGGCAGACCTTTTGTATCCTGCTATATCTTTCCCATGAAGTTATGCTGGTTCTGTTAAAATGTACTTTTCAGAGCGGTAACATCGCTGGAAGAGGAGTGCTTATATATGGTCAACGAGGAACAGGAAAAACTGCCATAGCTATGGGAATAGCAAAAGCTCTTGGCAAAGATACTCCATTTGTATCGATGTCTGCTTCCGAGATTTTCTCTGTCGATATGAGCAAGAGTGAAGCATTAACACAAGCTTTCCGCAAAGCAATAGGCGTTCGCATCAAAGAGGAGACTGAGGTTATTTTTTACAGCGCTGGAGAACTTTTTGCTTTATTTACTCTTTAACTCCCTACAAACATTGATGACGTTTTGTATGGCTTATAGTGAGACTTCTCCTTTAAGGTCCTTGAAGGTGAAGTTGTTTCTATTGAAATGGATAGACCTGCCACCGGTGTTGGTCCGAAGGTAAGTAAGACCAATGTTTGTGTGAGTCATGTTTTCGCGGAGTATACTGACTAGTTGACAAACTATACCAAACAGAAAGTTTTTTTTTATTGCGCTACGTTCCTCAGAGAGCGCACGCCTACAGTTCTGCATAGCGCTACATTAAATGCAGTTTAGAGAGACAAATCTCCGGGGTGCGTGCGCATAATTTTCGTAAGTGGTAAACAGTTCATGTCCTGCCATGGGAATTTTTTTTTGCAAAATGCGACCCTCCCTCGAAATCCCTCTGGTGTGGCCCCTTCCTCCATCCCATCCTACTTACCATCTTAATAATTTCTTCCAGCTTCCTACCCTTCAAATCCAAAGAAACAAAAACCCAGTAACCGAAAATATTCTTCTCGAAGGCAGATACGACCCACCTTCACTCCAGCGCCGAAATTTGAACCCACCCGCTTGGGTATCCCCGACGTACAACGGATGCAAGTGGTGGTTAGTTCTCCTACTCCTGAGGTCCCTATTCCCTAACAAGTTGCAGACTATTAGTGAGCTAATGCCAAATTGCAGATTAACTCCTCATAGATGAATTGCACCGTTTTTCTCTGTCACTCAGATCTTTTAGGTTGGAAAATTGTCGCTGAAAACCACGGACATGGAGACCATATACGATCTCGGTAGTAAAATGGTAGATCAGTGTATTAAAGAGCGTATTTGTGCTGGTGATGTTATCCAAATTGATAAAGGCTCAGGTGAGCTTGCCTTAGACCGCGTTCAGACTTCGCGATCGGATAGCTCGAGCGATTCGATCGTTGAGATTTTGCCCGATCTTACAGTACGGCGCGTTGGAGTCCATATGAAAAAAATAATGACGTTTTGTTGAGGACGTGTAACTCGGGTTGGTCGGTCTGCAACACGTTCGCATGATTACGATGCGATGGGACCACAGACGAAATTCGTTCCTTGTCCTAAAGGCGAAATTCAGACAACAAGGTGCACTAGAGGGAGTTTTCGTGGTCTTCTAGATTCCTCCTTTGCCATACACCTTCTTTCAGAGAAACTGTACACACTGTTTGCCTTCATGAAATTGACGTCATCAATTCTCGTAGTCAAGGATTTTTAGCATTGTTCACGGGAGATACTGGAGAAATCAAAAGTGAAGTTCGTGAACAGATCAACAAAAAGGTATGCTTGTGTGGTCACTGGATCGCGGGTCACGTTTGAGAGTGCCCCTTCGTTCTTCGTTGTTCGATCGCACGACCACAATATGGGGCGCTCCATGCCAAGCGGTGGATCTCTACCTCGGCAGAGTTCAAAATTGGCGGCGTTCATGCACGTTTGTTTCAATTCTGCCGTTGCGGAGGTCTAATGATAGCGGTGGAGAGCCCCGGTCGTGGTCGCGCGATCGGATCGCGGAGTGTGAACTCATTCCTACTAATTAGGGGGAACCCACAGCATAGTCCGGGATAGTATGGCCAACACTGTTGTCCAAACATTCCTTTTCAGGTCGCGGAATGGAGAGAGGAAGGTAAAGCTGCTATCCAACCCGGAGTACTTTTCATCGACGAGGCTCACCTTTTGGACTTGGAATGCTTCTCATTCCTGAATCGCGCTATGGAATCCGATCTCAGTCCTTTGCTTATCATGGCAACGAATAAGTACGTCTATTTTCACTCATGATTGTTATAACGCTTTTTTTCTCAACTTGCCCTTTATTTACATCTTAATTGTAGAGAACGAGGTGTTGTTCGCGGAACCGATGTGGTGGCAAACTACTGCTTACCACCTGACATAGTTGATCGTCTCATTGGTATTCCTACAAAGCCATACACTCCCGATGAAATCGGCCGCATTCTCAGTTTGAGAGCGGATGAGGAAGGTGTGAGGTTGGTGAAGTTACTGCCTTTGTATTACATGGTAAGCTTACCAACTGCTGGCGTTGTTTTCCAGGATGGAGGCTAGCGCACTCACTTTGCTGAAAATGTTAGTAGCAGAGACATCTATGCGATATGCTATGCAGATTATCGCCCTAGCAGACTGTTTGAGAGAACGCAAGAAAAAGCCAATGGTGAGTGCCTTTTTAGCGGTTTCCAGGTCCGAGTCGATGCGTCCTAGCTTCGGAGTGTATAAAAAGCAGCGGAATAAGGGAGATGGTTCTCTCTACAAAAATCCACAACTATGTCCTGAGACAGTTTTGAGATCCGATAGAAATATGACTTACGCTGGGACTCGCCCTTAGTGGCGTAGTTTCTACCGCATTGCACACCTTACTGTTTTGCACGCCCTCACGCTGTGTGGAGCCCCCTCTCTTTCAAAACACTAACACCTGCGCAGATCGATACGTCTTTTGACTCGCGTCCTTCGAAATTACCGTCCAGCGGAGTAT